CCCCCCCCCAACCCCGTGCGCAGACGGCGCTTCTCCCTCTTCCTCGCCTTCCATTACATCACATTACGGCTATAGCGACAAATCAAGAAAGTCTCCTTTTTCCCAAATGTAATTCCCATCATCTCCCCATGGTTGGTTTGTTTTTTCTTTTAATCAGAAGCCGCCCCCCTCCCCACTCTACCTCCCCCCCGCCCCGTCCCTACCTCCCTCTGTTTCTCCGGTGTCTCCAATTCTCACCGAGACATTGTCTTGTTTTTCTCCCCGCAGCGGTGTGGGGTTGGCTCGGGCACATTTCGAGAAACAGCCGCCTTCCAATCTCAGAAAATCCAATTTTTTCCACTTCGTCTTAGCTCTGTACGACAGGCAGGGACAGCCAGTGGAGATTGAAAGGACAGCTTTTGTGGACTTTGTGGAAAAAGAGAAAGTAAGTTTTTAAAAAAAAATGTAATCTCCGTTTCCCAAAACCGTTTTAACAGAATTGATGTTATTTGAGCCTGATTCAAAGGGCTAGAGATAATTTTCACCTTGACTTAGACGCTGCCAGTTATAACGGGACTCCAGAGGCGTCCAAACCACGTGCAGTTTCCCCAAGTTCTGATGCCAGGACTGGCCTCTTTAAGACTTGCTTGCAAAGTTGCCTCAGCCCAACGGGCTGCTTTGAACAGGGAAAAGTCACGTTTTCGGTAGTAGGCAAACCTTGCCTGCTGCAGGGATGAGCAAACAAAACAAATCACTGTAATGGAGCTGCAGTAGATTTCTGCTGGTATGAGCAGCTACAGGCCATTTGCAGCATTTTGAAAAAATAAAAATGAACCAAATAAATGCTATTATTTGTCATTACTTGCAGGAGCCAAACAATGAAAAAACTAACAATGGAATTCACTATAAACTCCAGTTATTGTATAGTAATGGTAAGTTTTATTCATCGTTACCTCTTTGTTGTTGTCATTGTTGTTGTTATGCACATCTTTATATATGCTGGAAAACTGCTACCCTCTTTTTGGTGCCCTTTCAAAAAACAAATAAACAAAGGGTATAAAGATTTCTGAGATTAAAATTACATGACTATGAACACGACTCTTCTCATGGCATAGAATGGAAACAAAACATAAAACGATCAATAAGTCAATGGTACTTTACATGATTAACCGGCTGTCTTGAAGTAGAAAGTAACAACAACAAAACACACGCACAAAAACAAAACAAAGCAAAACAAAACAACCCCCCCCCCCAAATCAATATTGACTCCAGCACAACCTCACTTTTAAGAGATTCCCTCCTCTACTTTGGCAAATGAATGTTAATTATTGTGGTTTCCTACCTCTAACGTGCCAGATGTAAGAGATCCCACACCCAGCTTGGATGAGCCTGGAAGCTGGGTAGCAAATAGACAAGGGAAATGGCATTCGGAAATCCAAACAATCAATGTTGGTCTTCTTTTCCTTTTGACTTTACAATAACCCAGGCCAGTGTAGTGAAACAGGCAGTTGATTCTGCTGAGGCTACTGTCTCATGCTTCCATGGGTCATGTACTTTAGGCAGTCACAATTTGTGTTTCAGATTCTTTTTATTTAAATTCAACCCCCCCCCCCCAACTTCTTAAGTATGCTTGAATACATGGTACATAGCATATCTGTGTAACTTATCTTGCTCAAACCCTGGTCCTTCTGATGCCAGATGCCCTCTGATTGGTTTTTCTTCCACTTTTGCAGGGGTTAGAACGGAACAGGACTTGTACGTTCGGCTAATAGATTCTATGACCAAACAGGTGAGAAAGTTTAAGCTTTTCTAAGAGTTGATGAGTTTTTGAGTTTGGTCTTGGTTCTGAAGGACTGGAGCTCTTGGTGGCTTTTGAAAGTCTTCTTCTTTGAGCCTCCCTGATGTGTTAATTAAAAATTCCATACTGTTGGTAAATATTTAGGAAATGAAAGAGTTTTGTTGTTACTATCTCAAATCTGCCCTCTGGACTTACATTTTCATTTGCCGATATTAGCAAAAGGACAAATGACAAGAGAGGGAAGTGTTAGAGAATTATACGGAGTTTATTTTCAAACACTGGAGAAAAATACTCCAATGTTATCACAGCTTTATTTTAGAACAATTTGGAGGATTAACTTTGTAACATGGGTGAGCAGATGAAAATCCTGTTTTAATCTTGAGGCACTAAAATCAAAGGTGACTTGCTTTTTCCCCTTTCCCTGTTCTTTTCTCTTTCTTTCTCCCTCCCCCCTACTTTTAAAAGGGATGATTTAGACTCATCAGACATTTATTTGGGATGTAAAAGTTAAATGTGCAGAGGTGAAAAGTCATCTTGTTCTCCACTAGTCCAGATTCACCTCGCAGTCCCCCATCTCCATAATTCAAGCTCCATGCTCCATAGGTCACTCACACCCGTCCGTTTTCCCTGAAATCAGCTCCTGTTTCTTCCTCAAACCTCTGACATCCCTTGTAAATAACATAATTACAAGCTGGTCCTTATTAAATTATTTAACATATTTTGGACAACTTTCTGAAGAATAACTAAAAATGTTATCCAAACTCCCTTCAAGACAACTAATTTTTTTTTGTTTTGTTTTTTAAAGCTGCCTGTTAGCTATTGAATGAAGAGCTCAGTCTCTTGGTTTTATTTTATTTTTTTGAGAGATGCATTCACTGGCTTTTCAGTGTGCTTCCTCTATTTTGGAGGAAACAAGCAAATTAAGGGAACTGTATTCTTCCGAAATGATACAGTTCCAGTGGTAACCCTTTATGAAATGCCCAGTGCATTTCTTTTGTCTTTCTTTATGAAAGAGCAGAAAAAGGGATATGTTTTCTCTGCCATCTCTTGGAAAAATAAAAATTGAAACATTAAGGACAAAAGACTGCTTTTCTTAACACTACTTTTAAGACCCCATTTCAGTTTGTTTAAGCTTTTGAGCATCCTTCCCTCCCCCCCGCTTTTGAAAGCAGAAAGTTTTCAGTGTTCTTGACAAAAATAGGGTTAGATTTAAATGCCCCCAGCAGTAAATGGGTGGTATTCTTTCACAGAAAACCCGATCTGACAGGCAAACGCCAGTCCCTTGACAAAGACGGAGGCGTTGTGCCCTCCAATAATTTTTCAATAGGTTACAGAGAAGTACCCTTTTAAACTCTGGAGCACTCTCGAGTTGACAATGTCTTCTTATTTCCTTTGTACATATCAGCTAAATGTTTTCGGAAATCGCTGTAGGCTAATTAAGAGGGTACTATGGGCAGCTCTGTAGGTTTCACTGCTCTCCAATGAAGGGGGAGAGAGAGAGAGAGAGAGAAAGAAAGAAACGACCACTCTTAAGCACATTTTTATTAGTAATGGAAGCTGCGGACTTTTGCAGGAGTTCCAGTGCTGAAAATACAAGCTTTTAATCTCTCTTCGCTGACGGGGAGGAAAGAGGGGGGAAAATAGCCCAGTAACTGATCAAAGAGTCAATGGCGCTGAACCGACAGTTTATGGATTTCTCTTGGTGCTACAAAATAAAAAATAAATCACATCTAAATACGCGGATTCATCCGAGGCGAAGTAACTATCACCCGAAATGGTATGGCGTGCTGCAACAACAAACATTTGCAGACCCCAACTGCTGGTTGTATCTGCGGTCCCCTATGTTACTTCAAGCTGTCCAGACAAGTCCAGCTTTTATCAGGGGACCTCTTGGAAAACAAGGCCTTGTCTCCGATTCTGCGATGAGGACTTTCGCGGGCTTTCCTTGGCAAGGACCCCGCTTTCCCAGCATAGCGAGCACAAAAGTGGCTTACACCGGATAGGTAAGGGAGAAACTATTTTCCTGCAAGCTTGTAATGGCGAAAGAATGGAGATGGAGGTGTTTCTGTGTCTCCCCCCCCCCTTCTCATTCTGCACCGCACACAGCACCGATTGCAAGGAAGGCAAAAGGCTGGTAGGAATGAGAGTGGAATCAAGTGACCTCACTGAGCACAGACGGCTGAGGCCCAGGCTGTGAGAGAGAAAGAGAGAGCAGGGAAGGAGGGGGAGGCAAAGCAAAAGAAGTGGAGGAGGAGGAGGAGGTGGAGG